GATCGAGCTGCTGAAGTGGAGCATGCAGTTGGCCAATATATTATGATATTACGCACCACGGGGATGGACCACGCTCGATGACATACATTCGTGGCAGCGACGTCGGTCACGGAGAAATTGCTAAATCTGCGGACGGACCACAAGGCAAGCCATGTAAAATAGCCCGCGGCCGCGAATCGATTAGATTGGTCGGTTTTGCGTTGTCAAAGGAATTCTTTGCGGTCTGCGCGGCGGTTAATTGGCAGGTAATCGAATAAGCGGTCCGCCTATCCTTTCTAAATGAACGCGGATAGTGAATTTCCTCCTATGGTTGAAACGATCTCGAAAATATCGCTCGAGGGATCACGGGATTTTGACGATTCGCGATCGATCCCGGCTGTTTGAAAAGAAGTCTTTCGGTTCGCGAGAGTGGTCATTTTTACACCACGATACGGAGACGAGATGATGTTGATGGAAATTGGTGAACGTGTATTGGATGAATTCACATCAGGTTGGGGGTTTTCCTCCCAGATTTAGGGGATTTTTCTATCAACAGGGGGAAATCTAGGGGCAGATATGTTTTCGGGGGAAATCTGGGGATTTTATTTTATAGAAAAGTCGAAATCAACTTTTCTAATGTTCAAAAAAGTTTCCGATTTTAGAAAAGAATGTAACATGTTCAGTGCCCATCGGTTGGAAAACTAACAAATTACGACCGAATTCTCACTAATTTGGTAGTAGTATTTTCGTTTGTCACAGTGTTTTTCTTTCCGTGGAACGAATGGAAAGTGTATCGAAAATACGAAAGCGGGGAGGCCCCATTTTCTTATATGAAACAGAACGGTCAAGTGTTACTAAGTAAAAAAGAATTTCAATAATTGCAGTCGATTCAAGATTTGTGCATTGTGCTGCTCTAATAATTGACAAAACTACATTTTTACATAGTACCACAGAGTACATATTATATACATTATCAAAATGAAAATATTCAAGTAAAAATGTTTGGGTGGATTTTTTAGAAAATTGTCCAATTCTGGGGGGTTTTTATATTTGTTTAGGGGAATAATTTTTCCATGTTTGGCAACACTGGTGGTAGGCGACTTCGAAGGAAGTTTCAAGCCCCACTCAAGAACCATTGGGAGGAACTTCAGCTGAAGTGTCTGTGTGGTATCTGTTACGTGTAGAGATGTTCTTTTGGTTTTCTGTTGTACTGCGGTAAATTATTCAGGGAAAGAAGACACGTAGGACACTGGTATATGTATACTTTTCCTTTGTACTGGCAGTAAATTATTCAGGGAAAGAAGACACGTACTCGCGTATCCTACTCAGAGAAGTGGTTTTGAGTGGCCAATTGGATTAACGTTTATACCAGACGACGGTGAATTCTTACAAATATTCTTTGTACGTTCTTCGTATGATCTTCCTACGATCAATCTTAGTATGAAAATTTATCAATTGGTAGAAATTACGAACGTTTGGATTGTTTTGTAGTCGACATACACTACGAGTTGCACGGTCTTCTAATCAAAGGACAAAGCCACATTTTGCACTTGGTACTCTCGTATGGTTACTGACCTAGATTCCAGGCCTTCTAGCACGCATATGAGAATCTCCGCTCACGTGAACAGGACTTAATCAATCGACTGACCTTACGAAGAGTCAAGGTTCCAGAACTTACGTCATTGTGCCGAAACTTCCGCGTTTCCGCTGATTACCATTGTACAAGCGTCCTCCAACTCCTCGTTCTCAACAGGCGGGAGAATCGTAGCTGCACGGCGGTTTGGTAATATTCGTGGAAAGTAAACGTTTCGACTTGGACGGGCAAATGTTACCTCACCGCGGCACACATTTTTCGTAACTCGTTAGAAAGGCAATCTAACTTTCCACTGGCGCGCTTAATGCACCGACGTTATCGACTTCCCGCGACTTTCTCCGTGTGGACTTCGAACGCAATGTTGGTCGGAACAACGCTTGGGGGGGTTGTTTTGAATTTTTGCAAAACCTAGAGCAATTCGGTACATGGCATAGAAGCATTAAAAAGAAAATTAACTTTTAAATAGACACACTGTGGCGTGTAAGTATAGCCAGTTAAATAGCGGCGATATTTCCAGCGGAGCAAAGGCGACCGGTTTCGGGACCAAGCGTCATGAATCTAAAATGGCCCTTCTGAAAATTCGATGTTCTATTCTTTCTCGACGAAGGAAAGTCGTTTTCCGTTCGGCTCGCAACTTTCTTTCTTTACACGGTATGCACTTTTGCGAACAACGGAACAAACGCGAGCGAAGGAAGCATTCTGGTGGGAGTTTTTAAAGCGACAAGAACTTAGAGAGACCGCCCGTTACCTCCGACATTTAGGCAACTTGCGTGACACAAGTTCTGTGTGAATAACATTCTTTAATATTAACCCTTAGATGTCTAATCCGTAAAACTGTTCATAATGAAATTGGGCTCACAATTACCCACTAATTGAATCGCTTATTTCAGAAACCCCTTTAGTGCAGAATTACAAATTTGAAGATATTTAAAAAAAACTTCTAAATGGGCTAAAAGCAGATATTTTTTTTACGAAAGATTCCTGAATGTAAAGGAAGGTTCTATACATAAAATGGAAACGTAATTTTATGATTAATTGATTAAGATTAGGGGGAGGGACTAAAAAAAATGTACACCCTCTGCAGTTATGGGGTTCCTGAAATAAGCGATTCAATTGTAAGTACTAAATAACAAAATAAACAATCTCCAACTGCGTAGATTCCTCAGCAAATGCAGTCTAAAGTTTGGAAAAGTGTTTAGCACACCCTGTATATTATAACATCTTACGATTTAAAGCTATCGGTCATGTCGACCCAGTCTCGAAAGGTGTAAGAGGCACAGTTGAATATCACGGGAACTTTTACGAATATCGTGACACGAACCGTCGCAGTTCCGTCGCGCCAACAGACAGACGAACGTCCAGACGAGGTATCGGGCCGCGTATGAATTTCACATGGGGGCATCGGTCTCTATCGAAACGGTCCCTCGCGTTTGACCCCGGCGCGTGCACGCGAGCGTCACGGCAAGACATAAAATATTTTGTCGCGTCGCGCCAATCCCCCCCATTTTCCCGCTTCCCACCGTTTTACCCCCCTTTTTTTGGGGCGGTGGGCGGATGGAAGCGCAACAAAAAATCAATAGGCGGTCGCAGGAAATTGAATTTGGCCCGCGCGAACTGACCCGACGTGTATATCGCAGCTGCGTGGCCGGCGAAAGAGTGAGAAAGAGGGAGCCAGAGAAAGAAAAAAATGGAGGATGGGAAAACGAGCGCGAAGGAAATAGCGCTGTCGGTTGAACGCGACCGAGCCACCTCCATCGAGATTCATTCGATTTCTGACACGGTTGAAAATATGTTCAACCCTTTGCACCCGTACGTCTCTTCCCAGTCAGCCAGCTGGATACCGATTCCACCCGTACGCCCGCCCCGTCGTCGACTGAAACTAGATCGTGTATTGCGATCCTTTGTGCCGCGTACCTACGTCTGCTGACACCGAATGTGATGGATGGAGCAACGGAACGCCGGCAGTCTTTTTTTTCTCTTGAATTTCTGCGGCTTGGAATGGTGTTTTTTTTTTTTTATTGAAATCGATTACCGGCGATACATTTTGTTCTTCCTTTCCTTTCACCGTGAAACGGCGTTACACGGACGCGAGCCTGATGATTGGTCCTGATGTTTTGCGGTTAGGTTGGCGGAAAATGTCGATTTAGAAAATTTCGATACTTGATACGTTATCGCGATATGCGATGTTCTTCAATGTATTCGATGATTTAAATATGAATTCCAATATTATACAGGGTTTTCCAGAATAGTGTTTAGAACTGTAGGTACTTGTAGTACTCGCCGAGAAGAGTAAAGAATGTCTAATCAACATAGGTCGTGAAAGCAATCCTTTCGGAGAGAAATACAAAAGATTCTTAGAATATCGCGAGCAGTTCATCGCAAAGCAAGGCAAAATCAGAGGAGCACGCGCGTATACAATTTTCCCGACGTCTACCGGTCCTCCCCTTTCTTAAGGACATCGTGTAATATAAACGTGACTGGATATTGAAAACACGCAAAAGAAAAAGACGAAATGCTGTTCCTTCCCGTCGTGCAACGGACAGTTCGCGAAAATGTATTCCGACCTGCTGAGACATCAGATTGAAAGCAGCGCGAGTGCAAAAGGGTTGAAAGAGTACGAGGGTTGCCTAGAGGACGCAGCTAGTAGTACGAAATGATTTTTGGGACGAGTACATAATGTACACTACCGCTCATAAGTATTAAGATGAAGAAAATATGATGTTTTGCGACAACAATTAGTCTAACTATGGGCTAGCACTTTTAAATCAAGACTTATTGCCAAATCTGTTGAAGACTTTTAACATGTTACACTTCAATGTATCTAAAACAAGTTTGCTTTATGATATAAAATTAAAATGGTTTTCGTTTGATCTTGAGTCGTAGTTCCACACGATTCCCGCTAAGGTAAACCACCTAACATGAAGGGTCATGTTAGGTACTAAGTATAGGGACACTTTCAATCAGAGATGGGCAGAATTTTATTCGAATAATACATAGTGAGAAGCAGCAGTATCTAAGATCGTCATCCTGACCTTTAACCAATTCATGAGATTAAATAATTGTTTGCAAAATGTCTACTCATTCAAGAAGAAATATTATTTTATGATAATAATTGGAATTACTACGTTCGATCAAGTAAAAATGACGAAATATTTTATTCGTTGTTCGAAACTTTTTATCCAGATAATGCATTTGCCCATCTCTGCTTTCAACTAACCAATATTTAGACCCTAGGTATTTAGACCACCTCCTCTATTTTCTAGTAGCATAAACGTTGTCACTCGAGCTTTAATCCCAAAAAAATATTTATTTTAGACTTCTAGCAACTTTTGTAAAGCCTCCTAAAATTTATTGCACACTTGATAAGTGTCCTAATGTTTATGAGTAGTTGAGTTAAAAGTTTGTTAATTGTTCCGTTTGCGTTTACCTTCTTCGTCGCTGCCGATCATGGCGTAACGCTCGTATCCGGTCAGATTCCTGACCGCGCCCAGGCCGAAGTCGTCCTTTGTCCATTGAATCGGTCCTTTCTGATCGAGGACCCGGCAAGGAAGCGTCACTCGGCTGCCAATCACCGCGGTCTGATCCATCGGCTCGATCGCGAATCGCTGATAAACGACTTCCGTGGTCGTGAACGGCCTCGCCGTCGATGCTAGGGGTGACACGTTTGTCATGTTCGTGGCGGACGTTGTCCCGGTTCCCAGTGTCAGTAGCAACGAGAGCCAGATTATAGGCGACGTCGATCGTTGCGCGTCCCTTGTTCTGCCGCTGTAAAACGAAAGAGACAGAGCGGTTAACGAAAATTGTCAGGATAAAGGCAATCAAGGGTGAATCCCCGGGCACGAGGAAGAGGAGAATAATCGCGACATATCCGATACTGGTTTTGATGATGGTTGAGGAATTTATAGAACAACAAATGTATGAGGTGCCCGTCGTTCTAGGTTCGACAATCTGCACTTAATACGTTGAAATCGATAGCTCGTTTCGTGTATTAGATACTCTATTACCTGAATTATTATGTATATTATTAACCTATGTTAATTGAACCGTTTGAACGAACGAAAAATATAAACACTCATTCTTCCCACAGGATCGATTAACAATGACAAAATCTATCCTTATACATTTTCAAACACTAGTGTGCCAATGTAAACGGGTCGAAAACCGAAACTATTTTTCAAACTTCATAATAATTCAGTAAAATCCCTCGAAACAGTCGGTTCACATTCAGACAGGAATAGTATCCAGAAGAGCCCAGCCAGTCGCGAACTATTTACAGAGTATACACGTTCACCTCCTCCGTAATTTATAAACTAAAAGCTAAACACTATTCTCCACGCGTGTCACAGTCCTTCCTATCCCCTTTTGTACGTCGGATTTATCCCCGAGCAAACGCAGGCCCACAATTAAGGATCACCATGAATTCCGAAAGTGCACAAATCTCCGTGTAACGGCTCGCTGTTTACGGTCGCGCGAACGCAACACGCCACCGTGAATTATCGTCCGTCTCGGAGAGAGGATAAAGGGTGGTGGTGGTGTGTCGATCGAGGACGAAGAAGCAGGTGAGAGGCTCGGATCGAATGATGGATCTAAACATGAAATAAAGGCGACGTTAACGACGGGGCGGTACGCTCGTTACGCACTTACGACGGTGCTCGAACAATATCCCTGTGACGGTCATCGTTAAAGGCCTCGAGTTCGTTATTTGACTTATTTCTTTTCATTTTTTCTTTCGCCCCCGTCCCGCCGCCGTTCGAACATTGACTTACGATCTCCGCGACACGGCGTCGACGGTCTTCCGTCTCGTTCACCCTCGAGGCCGTACTTATTTATCTTTATAGTCCCATCGGATTCGGAAACGAGGGAGCAAGGGGAGGGGGGCGGAGGCCAGGCGAAGTCGTCGCCGTAAATGGGACGATAAAACTATAGCCGAGACACGGTAGCAGCAATTTATTATTGTGCTCTGGAGCGTACAGCCAGCGGCGCACGTGATGCCACCATTATGAGGAGAGCTCCTAGACCTTCTTCTTCTTCTTTCTTGTTTCCTTCTTTTTTTTTACGAGGGTAATGCTGTTTTGCCGTCGCAGCGAAAAATACACTAGCTGCCGGCAATTATTACGTCGGACGCTTTACGAGGACAAAGGCGGGGGGAAGAAGGAGCGGCGATCTTGTTTTCCACTGGAACGACCGAGAGGAGGGGCGCGTTTTCCCTCTAAACGATCGAGAAATACTTTAATAAAGCTCAATCGGACCCCCTCCACTTCGACAATTACATTCGCAGCACAGAGACCAGCTCTCGGAGGATCGATATTGAGATTCTTCGTCCCGTGCGGACTCCTTCGTAAAAGCTTTTCATATACTCGAAGAAACAAACCCGAAACTTCCATCGTTCGATCTTCCGCCGAGAACTGGCAACGAGAAGTGCTTACACGAGTATCTTCACACAACGTCATCACGATTCACGCGGCAATTTCCCGCTCCGTCGACCCGATTTCGCCGCGGAGCGAAATACGTTCGCGTTCGTCGGCCCAAGAAGCAGAACGGACGGTCAGGCGACGAACCGTTCTCTTAATCGTTTCATCGACCTCTCAATTAACTTTTATTCGTCTGGCCAACGCACGAAGCATTCCATACTACTCTTTCTCTTTGATTCTTCTTCCCTTCGCGCGACGTCATCTTGCGATGCGAAGATTGCTCGTGGGCGCTTCGCTAGGCCTCGACAGCCTATAGGACAGGGATGCACAGACTTGTTAAGATCAAGGGCCACATAGATTCACTGTGACTTATGGATATGTTATTTATTTTGTTTATATTTATCATATATTGTTCCAAAGAAAGATAATAAAAAGTAAATAAATAATTTAATTTGATGCGTGACATTGCATTGATTTAAAAAATTGATTCTAAATTTTCATTAGTCAAGCGGTTCCTATTTTCCGATTTGTTAATATTCATGACTGAAAAAGTTTGTTCACAGATATACGTTGACCCAAAGAGACTTGCGCATTTTAATGCATTATCTATCAACGTTTGTACTTATACATATATTCAATTACTTAAAACAATGTAATAAATCTGTATGAAATGATACGTACCACGTCACCCGTATAATACGTACTAAATGTAAAGCAGAAAAAAGCTTCATAAGAAGCTTAAAATGCTATAATAAAAAAAAAAAAAAATTTGTCTAGCTGCGTGAAAGGTATTGGCTCAGAAGCCCTCTAGCGTCGAGTAGAGTATGTGCTCTCACAGATCCATTTCACTCCCGTTATCCTTGCCGTGTCTTCTCACGAACTTCCGGACGTCTGGATGAGGCAGCGCGGCGACATCGCTTAGAAAAGCTCGCGTTCGCTCGTTACACGTCGCGGTCGTGCTTCTTTGGGGCCGCGAAGTTAGACACGGCAGGTCGAGTCGTCAGCCGGTTCTTGCCGCGACACGTGTTCCGGCCAGAGCGCGACAAAGGGAGGATGTCGTAAGATGCTCGTACGACATCGCGGCCCCCGGCTGTTTCTTACGAGCTCAATAGGATAATAACCCTCCTGGGCTGGTCGACCAGGCTACCAGGCCGAACGAAACGTTTCAATGGGTACACACACGCGCGTAATGGCCGTAATAATAATTGCGCTTGTGCCCGCTTTAGACACCGCTCCTCCCACCCCTCCACCGTCAGCGTCAGCGCGCGTCTCGGAAACTTTGAAATGTGTCCGGGGCTACGGGACGCGCGGTCCTATGTGGGCCACGTTTCCTGTCGTCGTTGACAAATGCCTGGATCGGCTGCGGCTTTGCGGCTCGGAATCGATACCGGGCACTTTAACGCCGTTCACCTGGGCTTCGCGCTTTAGGGAACTTGTCCCCTTGCCCTACCCGTCGTCGATGCGGGAAAACGAGAGAATATCCCGTGAATACGCGCCTTGTGCTCGATACCCTTGCGCGATTGAAGCCGGACTAATTGATGCTGGTTGGTAATAATCCGTCGTTGGGAGTGTACAGTTTGCTTAAATAAAGATAACTCGGTATGTAATATTGTAATTTTATAAATATTTTTAGATAGCTTTAACTCTTAGGGGATGGGAAGACTATTTTGAGGTTCTAGAGGGGTGGCTTAGTTTTCGTAGTATAACACTATAACAGATGTATGGAGGTTATAACTTGAAAATATAAGTCATGAACAAATTTGCCTGTTTTCTAAGGTTTAAGAGAACGTAGTTTTAGGGACAGGCAACAGGAAGAGAGCAATGTATTTAAAGTGACAGCGAGGGTTGACGATGAGATGACAGCTAGGCCTATCGCTGATGTTTTGGTGACGTTTTGATCAACGGGAGTGAGGGTTTTAAGGGAGTGTGTGGTGGGGTTAAAGAAAAGCTAGGCAACAGTTGTTTTGTGTCGTAAATAGAGTTCAAAATCAGAGTTGTTGGAGTAGTCATCTAGTTACGGTCATAGTTCAATTTACTTTAATTGTAATTATTTTAATATAATCGTATTATTTTACGTAATCCTAGTAAGCCATTTAATAAATCTATTATTTAAATCAATTCCCAGATATAGGTGTTTATTCCATTTGGAATTACATTTCCTTTCCTGACAGGTATCGAATTTCCAAAATTGTAACACATTCAGTATATCCAATTAAATTTCGTATTATTGGATTATTTTGGTTGAAAATAGAACAAAAGCTCACTGTTGAAATCCAGATTGATCTTTCATAAGACTGAACGTTGCTACCATCATCCGTATCGAGTTACGTTGAAGGAAGAAATTTTGGAAATACATGGTAATGTTTCAGTGGTATTGAACGACTAGGTCACTTAGTAACGGATATATCTGTACAGAGTTAAAGGGTGCTTACAAAAGCGTGGAGACTAGGTATTAAAGTCCATGCTTTCAACCACTATCCATAACATTTAAAATCACACAAAGTCGGCTGAGCGCTCAGAGAGCGGAATCCTGTTTCAAAAGACAGTGCAAATAATGGTTTAGCCATTGAGGATCATTGTCCAAATCAGATTTCTGTCCATGAAAGAGACCAACGAACTTCTCCTGAAAGTTCATGCCTGAAATAGCAGCCGCCTACACGCCGCAGGAAGTGAAATTCCGCCGAATCTGGGCCTCCTCCGCACCGCGTACACTTCTTACCGAAAAATAATCTCTTCTACCATCCAATTGTCGGAATCAGCCGGCGGGCGATCCTCGAAACAATGTGTTAACCGAACAGCAACGAAGTTCAGGGATTCTCGTTGATATTGAAATCGATGAAACTTGAATCGAACTGACAAGTCGAGCGTTTTCCGATATTAAATTTAGAAAACCTTTCGACCTCACCGTCGAATGCATGTTACCATAACACTTGGACGAAAAATTTTCAAGAGGGGGGGGGTGTCAGCTATTAAGCGGATTCCATTTTCATTTTCAGATACGTAGTCTGTTGTAGCTCTTGTCTGTGGTGTAATAGACACCGAAATTGATGAAAATTCAATTTATTCGATGGAAGACGTCAATTTACGCAATCGCTCGGACGACCAATCTTCTCGTCCAAATGTTACAAAATCCAGCCAGTAGGTACGTACTTCGTGAAGCACATAGCGAGGGCTAATACTTTTTCATTAATTTCCAGGCCGCTTTTAACGAGGCGCGAGTCTCGCGCGGAGATTTGTTATTTAACCGTTCGAACATTATAATTCAGGGATTACGTTGTATCCCGGGACGGCGCGACGGCGGCGGCGGGTGAATAATCGTCGGAACAAACGGTCAAAAATTTCGGGAATTTATCG